AATTTCGTGCTGAAAATTTGAATTTCAAGATAAAGTAACCTGAACGACTCGAAACATGTTTCTTATAGGTTTTCGACAATGCTCTTTCCAGTGGCATCATTTTTAAATATTGAGAAAGTTTTCTGAAAGGTTTTCCATAAACTGGATCTCTGGAAAACTCCTTAGAAAACTTTTTCAAAACCCAACTAGAAAGAGGATCATGAAAAACCTATAAAAAAATGGTTCATGAAATTTTAGTTCACTCATAAAGCTAAAGTCCGCCTGCTCTTGCAAAAAATACCCACTGTGCGTCAGTGACATAAATTTCACCTTCTAGATGCCAAAATAGACTTCTCAGCTCAGTTTCTTTCTCGTTTTGACTTTTCTTATGCTCGCTGTAATGCTCGTCTCTATCTGGAATCTCTTTATAAGTGCGCTTAATTCCACGTGTGTTATACGTACGTCCAATTAAACTGTCCATATCCGAACCGAAGAAATTTCAGCTATCACTTTTGCTGAAACTGTGAGATATCTCGGACGTTTATCATTTCGACATTGTAAAATATGTCCTTTTATGGTTTCAACAAAATTATCCAAAATACAAATTTCATTTTGAAAAATACTGTTGGACAAGATCTACTGATTCATTGATTAGAACAATATCAGCTTGATCATATTGATCAATAAACGAATGGCTTAATATTACCTCTATCGATTTTCCTCCAGGTTGTAAATACCAGATATCTAATTCGCGTCTGAACAATACCTTGTGCTTTGAAGAATAGAAGTCAAACGACAATAGTTTCCCAGTCCATTTACCCAAATGGACTATGCTAACAGGAAAAAAAAGCAAAAAGATTATTGAAATATAAGGAAAGTTAGATGGTCTAATGTCGTACTCTGTTCTGCTATTAATAAAAATCATTCAAATAGGCTTTTTGATTGTCAAGTTATAATAAAAGTTCGTGCGCAGTTTACGTATCTGACAATACTCTTTTAGAGAATTGAAATCTTACTATTAAAGGCTATGAAGAACTCTGAGAGTAAATTGTCTTTCATGTGAAACTTGCTGAGTTTTCTGCTGTTTCGCCGCTAAACAATTATTTAGAAAAATTGTTAGCAATTGTTTTCATATAAGAAGGAAGTTACCCCACTCTAAGCGAAATCGCTACAAAAGCACGTTTAGTATACTCTTCTTTTCCAAATTTTAATAAACAAAAAAGATGACTGTTATCCAACGATCAAAAAGAACTAAACAATGAATAAAAAAAAACGAAAAAACTTTGATAAAAAACGACACGGGATATTTTGATTTCATCGTTTTCCTTTTTTCTTTGCATTTGCTTTACTTGTATTTGGTTTTGGTTGCGTGGAAGTCGATGAGCTGGCCGATGTGGTCGTTGCTTGTGACGTTGGCTTAGAAGGTTTTGCTGTGGTGGTCGTTGTTGCTGATTTTGTTGTTTCACTAAAAGGACAAGTACGTTTTTAAAAGATCGAATTATTCTCTGGTAAAATTATAAACAAATTTAAGTATACTTACTGGTCTGTGCTCATAGCACCTTGTGTTCCTTTTCCAACTGATTTCTGATTCTTTTTACCACGTTTACCGCGATAATAGGTACGTTCACGAAGTGGTAACCATCTTTCTGGATCTGGTTTTGCTAATGGATCATAGTTTTTTGGTAATCGAACTAGGATGAAATAATAATACATAAAATAGATTTCAAATTATACTATCAATATGCGTACTTTTTCTTTTTTTCTTGTGTTTACTCGCCGCATCACGACCAGCCACCGTTTTTTTCCTTAAAAAACAACAATACAGTTGTTGATAGGTAGCAAAAAGCGGTTAGATAAAACTTTACTTTTCAATCATGCCACCTGTGCCAGCTTTCTCCGATTTTGGTGCTTTTTTTCCAAATGAACTTTCCAATGTATCTACATCAATACCTTTGGCTAACTGTTGAATTGACGGAAGTTTTTGAGATAGACTAAAGAGACAAACCTTAAACTGGAAGCAAAATATATAGAAGAAACAGACATACACATTCGCACGTTCAGGATTCGATTTTAAATGATGAACAATCAATTTTGACAAAGTATTTGTGTCATTAGGATAAAGTCTACAATAGATGAAGTAGAAGAGAGAGGGTGAATTTATAGCGAAATTTGATCTTACTTATGCATTATTTCAAGCATTTCTGTAACACGTTTTGTATTGCCTAATTTTTCTTGATGTACTATGTTTTGTTTTATTAAATGTAACAATGCTTTTGAGTTTTTTTTATGATCATTATCCGAAGATAAACGATCAACAGCGCCATCCAAAAATTTAGCGGCCGATGATGAATCTTCCATATAATTGTACAACGTAACAATGGCAGCGACCCAGAAACACACATAAATGTATAGATTAGTGATAACAAGCTTGATTTTTTACTTACAATTCCTGGTTTAACTATTAGTTCATTATCATTTCCCATAAATTCACATGCTTGACTTATTTTTCCTAGAAAAAAAATATATTAACAATTTAAGGTTTCTACATTCGAAGATATGATTAAGGAAGTACATGCTTCTGACCAGCAGTGATAAATAAAATTATTTACCTTGAGAAAGCAATAATTGTACAAATGTTAATCGACAATAAAGTGTAACGTGTCCTTTCTCCGTCGTATTTATAAATTCCTAATAACAAAACAAGAAACATTTGTCAAAAAATTACATTTAACAGAAAGATTCTCATTCTACTTGTAAAATTTCGGTGGCTTCTTGTAATTTTTTTTCTTTGATTAACAATGTCACTTGTGCGAGGATAATTGTATCGTCTTTTGTATCGACTGTCCCTGCTGACGCTTGAATTTTCTCCAATGTACGACGAGCAACATCATGCTGACAAGAAACACGAGAGTATTTTCTACATATATATATATATATATATACACTTGAGCAAATAACAGAAACCTTTAATAATCGCATACACTATCGGAAATTAGGATCAGTCTATGAACACTATTTTTTGTACTCGGTTATTATCGTATTTATGCTCCTCCTCGCTATTTCATTATAAAGACAACCTACTTGTCCTGTATAAATAGCCAAAAGAGCTTCATTAACATTGATAATTTTCTTTTGAAAATTTGTTAATTTTGTTTCACTTTCTGGTGAGCTTGCCGTTTTAATACGCTTTCTTGAATCAAAAAGATTTTGATCCTAAAAAACACCATAGATAGATATCTGACATTCTTTAAACAGATCACTCATACTTTATTCAAAACTGCAATATTATTTGATGCTACGGCAATAACACCCAAGTCTGATGGTCTTGAAAAAAAATCATAAAAACAATAAACTACTTGTTCATTTTGAATAGTTACCGTGATTTCAATACATCATTGTACAATGTTAAGGCGTCCTGAATTTTGCCTTGTTGTTGTAGACAATAGGCCAGTTGAACACTAAAAGTAAACAATATTGTTTATATTTTTCAGACAAAATTTGGTCTAAAATATATATGTAAATATAAAGAGCGAGAGAGAGAGAGAGAGAGAGAGACCGTATATTTGCTGCTTCTCGTAGAATTTCTTCTTCATTCAGATCGCCTTCTTCTTCCAGTTCATTCCGACATTGAGCTAAAATTAAGTACAAAAAAAGGCATGGGTAGCTACACACTAGTAATAAGGAATATGTGATTTCTACTTTCGGCTTGTCTCAATTTCTTCTCAGCTTCACTATATTGTCCATTATTAAGCAAAACACAAGCTGAATTGTAAGTTATATCATAAGTATCTTCATTTAAGTCTTTCATATCCTTTAACAATAAAAGATCAGAATATTTCATCAACAATAGAGATGAAAAAAGAAAGTTGATATTTACCACATTTGCAGATGGATCTATTAATTTCCATGTTGCTAGTGCAGCTATGTAATTTGCACGACGTATTGATTGATACTCGTCCTAAGAAAACAAATGCATAAAGATACTTTAAATTAAGATGAAGACTAATGGAAAAACAGAAGTTTAAAATCATATTTGGTCTATCTACTTAAAGACTATGATCAAATTTTTTTCTCCCACTGTATATTAATCACCACTCAAATTTCTACAATTACCTGACTGTTTTTGATCAATTCTCGATAAAGTTCAACACATTCTTTATACTTTTCTAATTTGTAAAGCTAAAATTAGACAAAACAAATAAGCTAACAATAAAAAATGAACGCTGATCAACACATACAACTTGTACAAATAGTTCTTGTTCACGTATGGTCATATTATTCATATCAAGTTTTTCTAATGTTTTATATGAATCTTGAATACGATTTAAACGATATTCACAATAGGCGCGCTCAAAAATTAAATCACTAAATTGAAAAAAATCAATATTTATTAATGTCTTTTAGAAGCTACAGATTTGATATGCTTACTTTGTGTCTGTGGGAATTTTACTGATTGTTGACAAGGCATCATCAAATTTATCATTTTGCATCAAACATATTATTTTACAATGAGTAGCTTTTTTCTCGTTACCCGATATTCCCAATACTAAAATGAAGTAAAACAAGAGATACAGCAATAATAACTAATTATGAGATTTTTAAACGCACTTTTCTTTGTTACTTTCAATGCTCTTTCCCAGTCTTGAGTCTGGCCATATTTTTGTAAATCAGCATACAGAGGACGTAGCTGTTCATCAATTTTTTCTTGTTTTTCACTCATTTGCTTTTACTTATCAGTATCTAAAAAGTAATGACAAACTTATAACTAATTTCTAGGATGTTATCCAGAAAACAACAAATCTAAGGAATGCTATGTAAAGAACTACATACTATTTCGGTATTCACAGTTTCTGCAAAAAAACGAAAACATTAAATGAAATTCTATTTCGTGTTCGTTTAAATTCAAACTTTTTTTGTTGCTGATGATTAATTTTTTAATACGTACCGATTAACACGTACATCCTCTAACACAGGCAAAGTTTTAAAGGCATTTTTAAGCATGCAACCCACAAGTCGAATGAATGTGAAGATATTTATGAATCAGGAGACATATTCCGAAATGGATACTGCGAATCTCGCGAATTATGTGTTTAAAAAAAACTTGCGAGATATTGTTTAGAACGCATTCTTTGAATATCCAAATAATCTGTTAGTACGTGGACTGAGATAAAAAAAATGTGCTGGTTTCGTGCACTCTTTCCTTTTTGAGCAACTCAAATTTATGGAACGAAAGCATTGAGTATGAATTGAATTCATGCCTCTGTCTGTCAAGCGATATTCTGGCAACAGGCTCGTATAGCAGTGTTTTTAATAGAAGTTTTTCTCATGATGAAGTGGAATCAATCTTATAGCTAGAATTTGCAGTTCAGACAAAACTCTCCTATGGTGCAACGAATCCTGAAACCACTAAATAACTAGTTAAGAATTGAAATTGCTTCCGAATAGCTTATCTCGCCGCGTAAATCAATAAATATATAACTAACGTGTCACTAACTGCAATTGGTGTCTTAAAGGAACTAATCAAGATGTAGCATTAAGATGACGTTAGTTGGTACAAGAAAAATAACTTCATTCGAAAACAATTTTCCCGCATATTCGAAACCCGCAAAACTAGTTACTTCCACAAATATTTATTTCAAAAATGATGGGATGAAGACTCCTTGTAAAGGAAATGTATCATCGGTTCAACTCTGAGAATATTGTTATTGAGTATTGTTTTTATAGCATCCTAAGTCAATTACTTGCTTTACTTCAGATGCATTAACGCGAGCCTTCAAAATTATGTCTCAATCACGATTTGCTCTTACAGCCGCGATATGATACAGAATCGTAACGAGTATCTTTGACAAATCCCATTTACCATTTTTGATTTGTTTGACTCCAACATCTAGTATATAACTCCCACTAATTTTTTGAAAACTTTTTAAAATTTTGTTACACTTCAGTATTTCATTACAATCAATATTTGCGGAAGGAAAGTCAAGATTCATGACTGTGTCTTCACGATTTCTATATGACAAGAGCACAAGAATAAATTATGACTTGAGATCGCGGCAGGAGAATCGCAAGTCTAACATGATTATTTCTGGATTGCGTCAAATCGTGATCATAAAATTATACTCTTATTTCGTGATTATAAGCGTGATCACGTTATGCTTTCTTGATGTGACTTTTTAAATATATTTAGATGATTAAAACGTCCTAAGAATGATTGTATAAATTATTACCCATTACCCTAGAGAACGTACTTGGGGCCAAGTACTTGGACTAAGTACTTCGTCTGCGTAATGAAGCCGGTACTTGCCTTTTTTCCAGAAGTACAGACACTTGTAAGTACGTGTCCTTACCTGCAAGGTACTTTCAGGAAGTACTTCTTAGCAATAAGGCAAGTATTTCGATCATTGACAAGTACTTAGAAAGTAATCAAGTACTTGCATCAAGTACGTTCTCTAGGGTAGAGATACCTTGAATCTGTTTCGTTAATTTAAACAACAACAAAGTTTTATGTATCATTCGTGCACTTATATGCATAACGTCTGAAATAATTTTTAAATGTTTTGCTCGGTACTAGAATATCATTAATACACTCAACATAGTGTTGATTGTACGCATTTCTGTACATTCTTGAAAGTACGAGCTCTCGACAAAAATTTTGTGAAATCCGATAAGAATCTTATAAAAATCTTACTCAATTCTTATATAAGATCTTCCAAGAAAGTGACAAGAATTTCGTTGAATCTTATAAGAATCTTGCTTTCATAGGAAATGGGTAAGAATCGGTAGAACTCGTATGTTATTCTTATCCTCTTGTTATAAAGGACTTACCACATTCTTGTAATTCTTACAAGTTTCTTATATTATGAGAAACTTGATCGACTCCTCTACAGAAGAAATGTCAGTGCAGCGCTAGAAAAACGCGGCCGCTACTAGTACCAGTGCGCACGACATGGTATGTTGCACTGGCTCGGCATCGGTGAGCACTAGTGACACATTTTTTCAGTCATACTTTTGTGTTCTTGGTTTGATTCCACTATGTTTTACTCGGACTTTTCTTCGAGAACATGGTACAATCAAATTTTAATACGTTCGTCGAGTAGACAATGCTTTCATCATGTCATAACCTATCTGAAAAGGAATAGTCAGTGTGAATAGAGAGTCAAATCGTAAATTCAGAGGAAGTACATAGAAAATTCGGCTCTCTGTTCTCTTAAGTAAACACGTCCCATTTCACTAGTCACAATGTTGAAAACTATCAGAGTTTTGGACAAGTTTTCTTTTCTTGCACAGATCAATTAAGTTCTGTATTTCTCAGTTCTGAACCAATATTTAACTGTAGTTTGATCTCAAAATAAAAGTGATAATGGTTGATGTCTTTCGGCCACTTGTTCACTTGTCAGTTACACCGATAAGATTACGTTTGCCGTATGTGAAGCATCGAGCATTCACACTTGGACTTTCAGAGAATGTCTATCCGTGGTCATTGGCGCTCGCTCAATTCGTTGCTAGAGTCAATTAGTGAAACCTGGCACCCAATCCTCTGTGCATCAAACAGAACCGAACTGATCTTTGCTACATTCTGAAAGCCATCGAGGATACTTTCATTTGTGAAGACGTCAACCACTGGGTACATCCCACTTCTGTACATTTCTATTTCGAGAACTAACACAATCATTTTGGCTAGATATAGACCTAGTGGGGATATTAACCTAGTGAAGAGATTATTTCTCTTCGTTTTTTTGCAGGTTATCTATTTTTGATCCATTTAGACTTGACGTGTTATCTGGGAAAGATGACGAAGAAGCTGTTGGTTTTACAACCTGACTGAAGAAGGATAGTTCAACTCTGTGCCTATGGGGGAACTAAGAAGGATTTATTTTCCTTAATTCATTCTCTCCCTCTCTCGAAAATTGCTGTGTACGTACCCTATAAAATACTTCATTTTTCTGGAATAATTTGATTTAAAAGAGATCAAAAATAGATAACCTGCAAAAAAACGAAGAGAAATAATCTCTTCACTAGGTTAAGAAAAAATGAAGTGCATATATGTCATACAAAGGTCATTCTTTCTTTTTTCGAATACTGTTATATAGAATACGCACGTGACCATCGGCGGGCCACCAGCAGCACAACTGGAAAAAAGTATGAAGGACAATAAACAGTTATTGCCCTGTGAAGAATTATATTTCGCAGCAGAGTATGTGTCCGAAGTTCAAAATAAAGAAAGAGCGATTCTTGACCGAAAAATTTGATGTACAGTTTAAATGAAGGAAAAGTGTATTAGCACGAACAAAAATTATAAAGAAAAGCACGTTTGTGTATGCACTATAAAAAATTTATTGCCTCTCCTAAAAAATTTTTCCCGACCCGTCCATGCTCCTGACGCGTCACGTGACTTGTAACAGACATGTAAGTACTGGAGAAGCACTAACTAACTAAGAATCTTATAAAAAATTTTACTCAACTTTTATATAAGATCTTCCAAGTGCTTTTCTGTAATGAAAAAGCGGCTATAAAACAAAATTTATTTAAATATGTTTTCTTGGATTTTATTGTCGTACAGAATTTTCACAAAAGCATAATATTTTATATATTTGTCAAACACAGCTAGATTGTTTTGCGTTATTAGATAAAGTATATATATATATTATTGTCAAATGGTGCGTTATAACCATCTGAAGCCTTTTTTTTTGAAACATAACCCCAGCAAAAGCGAGATAGATCGATGATGAATTTAGGAGAGAATAGTAAACTTTACCACCTCCTGTCGAAACGTTTTTCAATTTTTTCCAGTAGAATAATAAATCATACGATCGACGACAGACGTTGAAGGGCTTTTTCTTCCAACAGGTGTCTCTGTTCTCATATTTTGATCCTGAATAAGGAAATCCTGAATACACCGCTGCGATAGACTCAATTATATGTCAAAGTTCACTTGCACAAAATTAGTAATAGAATCTAAGATTTCATCTGTTTGATCAGAAATTTCTTGTTTTTTTATGGCTTTTATAATATTCAAAACTTATGGAAAAACTATACTTTCATCAAAATGCATTGAAACTCTTTAATATTAAACACTATGAATACCTTTTAAATTAATGAAATAATACGCAAAAAAAATTTAACTATGTCTCAAACCTAATTATCAAAAATGCATACAATAAATGTTAAGAAACGAAGTTGACGTTACGATATTGTTTGGCTCATATGTAATCACGTGTCACTATTCAGCAACATAATTATAAAAAGATCAAAAAATTCATAATTTAGCAACATAAACACCACAACCAGGTAATGTGGCAAATACACTCTGTTCTGCTTTGGCACTACGTGCTGTATTATCAAGATAAAACTTTTCTTTTACCGTTTTGATGAACGTGGCTAGTTTATCTTGTCGTACTAATGAAACAGCACATCCACCCCATCCTGCTCCCGTTAATCTTGATCCCAACGCCCCACTTTCTCTATAAATAGATAATTATATAATTATAAAACATAATTATCTGAATTATATTTTACCTGCATATTGTTGTTAATTCATCAAGTTCGTTACTACTACATTCATAAAATTTGCTACAACTATAATGACTTTGATTCATCAATTCTCCTAATGTATTCTGTGATTGTTCATCATGTACCGTAGAATCACATACTTGTTTAAATAATAAAACACGATTTGCCTCAGAGAAAACATGATGAAGACGTTTATGTAATTCGAATTGTTGAACTGAAGAAAAATAATCATCATAGGATTTTTGAAAAAAATTTATTTGAATTTTGTGAAATATTCACCATGCTTTGTATTTGGACCAAGACTCAATTCAATTAAATCTTGTTTAGAAATATCTAACAATCCACATATTTCATCGATAGTATAAGGTTCTAAATGAAGTGTCTGCACGGTAAAATGTTCCATATCTGATAAAGATAATTTTAATGCTTCTTGTAACTCAAACGGTTTTCGTATTGTTCTCCAATCTAAACCACGAAATTTAGCTAAAAGCTAAACACATAAATTGATTTATGAGTATATGAGTGTTAAAGTGTAGGTGATTACCTGTGTACCAAGCCGACATTCTGCTACTCTTGTATTAAAATGAGCTGTAGCAGCTTTGTTTAATTCGGTTAATGAATGAGTAACAACAAATGCACATCCCACTGGTAGAGTGACTTGAACAGCTTTTAGTGGATTGAAACTAATCATCATAGCCTTAAAATAAAAATTAAAAATATTTAACAATAAATTTAAGAGGAAAACAACTTACCGAACCTGTTCGAGCTAGACACGAAGCGGCTTGATCCATTCCTCCACCCTGTGTACCAATATATTTTTCAGATTCTGCGCATAATTCTGCCAAATAGTTCTAATAATGAAGTAAAAAAGTAGAAATGTCGGTGAAGAATAGTTTTCAAACTCACCTTTCCAATTGTAATATTATTAGCAACTGCCGTAGTTAGAGCAGCACAAACGACTAAAGCACTTGAACTCGATAATCCAGCACTTTTAGGTATTGTTCCATCAATTAAGACATTTATTCCTCCAATAAATAACATTTATGATATTCCACCTAAACACAAGTATTCATATACCTTTCAATTTTGTATTTGGATATTTATCACGAATTCCTTGGACGCCACATTTGAAATAATCATCCCATAATGGAGATTGTTTTTTAATATCAAATTGTTCAACATTAAATGTTGATTGACTATAAATAGAATATCAGTGCTATCTAATATGATCCAATAAACTATCATTTTGCTTACTTATATAATTTATCGGAATTTTGTAAGTTTATTTCATTGTTTTTATCATTAACAGAAAATATGGCAACAATATCTTGATCAATCGCCATTGGGAAAACAGAATAACCACAATAATCAATATGTTCACCTAAAAATAAATCGTAGGTTTTTTAAAAGAAAATTTTTTTCTCATAATGAATAGAATCGTGATAATTATGAAAAATGAAAAATAACCTATTAGATTGACTCTGCCAGGTGCACGACATATGTAAGATGCTTGTTGACCATAGAGTTGTTTAAACTTTTCCACTAATACCAGATATCGTTCTTCGCTAAATATAAAACAATACTATCAATAGTCTTTTAATATTAAAAGATAATTATTGCCTAGTACTCATTCTATACTTTGGATTTTGAGGAATTCCATCGGTTATAGTGATACTATCTGTATTAGATGATTCGTGTATATTTTCACTCATGATTTTATTCAACCTGAAAATATTAACAAATGATTATTTTTCACAACACATGAAAAAACAATCTACATTATTAAATAGAATAAAGAACCCGTGCACGCCTGATATAATCTAATGTGAGGCATGTTCTTAAAAGCTATGCGATGAAAATAACGTTTTTTTTTCTGTTTTAAATCGTCAGAGTTTATTTAAATGATATACATTTTTCGTTCTGTTTAACAAAATTTTTATTAACACGGCTGGTTAAAATAGTTGACTTGAAAAGAAAATTATTGATAAATTTTGACATAATCTCTAAAAATGTTCCGTTCTATTTCTCGGCAATGATCATTTATGTAGTCTATAATGTGAACTAATCAACAGTTAGCTTTATCTTCAATCGAAGCAAAAAAATTTTTTTAATATAAAAAGATTTTTTTTTATTGAGCTTAAGATAGTCGAATTTGTCTCGAAGAAAACCCCAGTTGCAATCATTGATTAAATAGTAAAAGTTTCAACTTAACTATGTTACATATATATTGCTATATGTAATTCTTCTTTTATATTTTTGTTTTATTGTTCAATGCCAACAAAAAAAAGAGAACAACAACAACAACGATAATAACAAAGAAAAAGTAGACAACAAAAACATATCTATAGATTATATACAAACATTTGGGTACGTATGAAAGACAAAAAAACATATTTATATGTATTACACGCACTCTCACACAAAATGAATTCCATATTTTGTTGTCAAAAAATTAAATAACACAAACAGAAAATATTAAAATACAAAAACAAATAGACTGGTGTCAAAATAGAGAGAAAAAGAACGTTATTTACAGAATAAAAAAGGATAGAGGTGCGGATGTGTATACAATATAATAGAAACAACAGCAGTGTAGACTATTACGAATAAGAAGTATACTTGATCTATGAACAACAGGTTAGAACTGTTCTATGGCACAAAAAAAAAACTTGAAAAATCCGACACTTTTTCTCAAAATTTTTTTGCTTATTCGTTGGAAATTTGTTTCTCTGAGTAGTATTATTTATCGTGTGAGTATGTGTGCATGCATCTTCAAAAATAAAATTATAAAACTTGAAAAAAAAAAAACGAAAAAAATGTATTAAAAACAAAAGCACAAAAAGAGAGAAAAAGAGAAACGATAGTCGAATATAATAGAACAACAGTAGTAGTCTGAATGCAAATGAGAATCTTTGAATAGTGCTTCTATTATGCAACAATATAACGTTAATAAAATTTGAACAGATTTCTATCTGATCAGTGGGACGTATCGTTCCTCATAGTCAGTATTTATTGTGTATAGGGAATCAAAGAAAAACAACAAAGAACTGAGAAGTATTGATTACATTAACAACAACATGCCATTGTTAGTCATCGTAGTCAATTTTATATTTATCAAGCAGAATTCATTACAATAACGCCATATTAAATCTAGAACAAAGAGAGGACTTATAAAGAATGATTAGAAGAAAAAAAATTCAAAAATAAATAGAGTAAATAATCTAAGATTTAAATACAGAAGACGTTAACATTAAACTTACATTTGAGTTTTGCGGTTTAATGCACATTTGGAAGCTAAACTTTGCTTTTATATAATAATCACCAAATAAATACACGGTGAACGCAAACATATACACACCACATGTATCGATATATCTAATTATCAACATCGGCGTGATAATATTTGAGTGGCAGAAAAATGTTTTATTGCATAAGTTTTCTGTTGAGATTTTTCGTTGTTCAGTGTATACACGCACACACGTATTCACTGCAGAAAGGAAAGAAATGAAAGAAATAAAACCCGTCACGTATATGCTCTGTTAGCCGTGTGTACGAGACAGAGAGAGGGAAAGAATTGTCTGATGTTATCTATCTTTCCTTCTACTTGTTGCTGTAGTTGTAGATGAAGATGATGATGATGACGTTTTTATTTTAGTCTTAATTAACATATCACGAACAAATTTTGAATGTTCCAGCATGCCTAATAGTACGGATTTTGTTTCGCCAAGTTGATCACAAAAACAACGATGCCGCTGAATATTGGCCTAAAATAGAAGATAAAGTCTCCATAGTAATAAAGATAGAGAGACATTATGTTGAAACATACTTCAAGAAGATCTTCAATTTTATTTTGAATTGTTTTATCAGTTATATTTAATGTATTTAATGATAAGGCAATATCTGACAATTCATTTTTTGTTTCTTGTTCATCGTAGGTCTAAAAAAGAAATAAATAACAAAACTATAGACTCGAATTTAACAACGGATAAGACATTCAAATATCCGTCTCAGAAAAATTTCAAAAACTTCTTACCAAATTTGTCAAATAATTTGTTAGACAATGTACACGCCAATAAGCATCTGGACTGTCAAGTTTTTTTGATACGGCTTGTAAATTTTTCATTGAAACAGCCCGTTTTGCATCTGAAGTAAAATTAAAATAAAAAACATTGATTCTCTGATTTTTGTTTTCGTTGGTTAATTTACTTGTTCTAGTCACATCAATATTCTTTTCAAAGTGATTATATTTTGGATTTGATTTCCATGATACTCGAGACGTAATGATGTTTGTACGTGGTCGAAGTTTTTTGCCCACCCATCTAATGCCAGTTTTTTGATCAAAATAAACAAAATCTAAATTTATATAAAAAATTTAGTATAACAGCAAATTAAATATAAATGTGCTCACCTTTTGACAAACAGTTCAAAAGATCATCATCAATTTCATCTACTGATTTTTGTTTGGATGTAGTTGGAGAATGCACTTGGTGTTCTTCAATAGTCAAAGGTTCTTGTTTTACTTTTGTCACAAAAGACTGAGTTTTATCATTAACCGAAGAAGTTTTTTGTAAACCTCGTTTCTTTTTTACAGTCATTTGAACAAGTGGTGTTGGAGTATCAGTTATCATTTGTCGCCTAGAGGCTTTTCGTCCATTAATTCCTGCTGATTTATCGATGGTTTTTGGCATAGATGATTCCGTTGTATTCTGCTTCTTTTTTATTGACCGTTTGACTCCTGCGTCTGTATCAACTACAGATGTTAAAGAACAGTTTATGCCAATCGACGTGGTTCCTGTTGGATGCGAAGAACTGACTGATGATAATTCAGGTGATTCTTGTTGATGTTGCTGTAATAGTGACGATGGAGTGGAATTCTCTAAAGACCATTTTGTACGACAACGTTGTTTTCTTGCCTTTTTCATTACAGATATTGTGGACGTTTGAGAAGAAGAATCATAATGTTCTCGATAATCAGTATGAGCAATTTTGGCAGCTGATTGACCGGATGATGAATCACTGAAAAAAGGTTTTATTCAAATAAAAAAAACTATTGTCAAAGATAATGATCACTTACTCGTCTATTAATTTATGTTTTCTTGGTATTGTTCGATTCGATAGTGTTGTTTCGGGTGCTGTATTAGTAGAAACTCCAAGAGAACTAGCTGCAGTTGACAGCGCTGACAATGGTAGTGAGGCTGATACTTGTTGAGTTGACGGTTGTAACGGGAGACGCGGACGCCCTTTGCTGAGTGCTTGGCCACTAGATGTTGGTGAAGTTGTTGATGTTTTATGAACGGCTAAATAGAAAAAAAGTAAAATAGATAAAAGTTTTCAACAGACGAAATTCTGTTATTGGGTCTGGAGGCTTCAGAAACGGTAAACTATGAATGACTTATATACCCCATCAGTATAAAGTAGAAAATATAATAATAACCTAATCCTTATTCATCGATTTTTTTCCTTCTTACAACAAAGATCGCTGTCTACCATTATAGTTGCACAAACCTGGTTTCAATTGAGTTCTAGCTGAGGAGACGGACGTTTTTATAACTGATTCATTTGTTTTTTCTTCCAACTGAACTTCTCTGACAACTGGTGTTGTTATTGAACTATTGTCCACTGAATGATGTCGCTTTGAATGAGCTGTTGTATTATCAATCAATATTTGATTTGTATTTGTCGATAAAATGGATGGTGAACCGGACAGAAAGGATGCAGATGTTGTACCCGAAACAGTATTATTAAAATTTTGCAGTAATGTCACTTGTTGTTGATCTACACACGACAATCCGTTCGTGTTTATGTTTTGAGTGAAAGAGGACGGCCGATGTTGAGTATTGTTGAAAGATTGCGGTATGGAAAAATGATTTGTTGCTGTGAAGGTTTGATGTGTAACTTCATTTGATGGCGATGGGAGCAAGGAAAACTGAATATAAGTTGGACCAGAATCTTCAAATAAAAAATGTATAAATTAATTTAATAAATAGTCTATGATGTATATGAAAAGATCGTAAATTTTTACCTTGAGCTTTAGAGAAATGTGGAACTTGTACATTGAGTGGTGTGAAATTGTTTCCAGTAGGAGATCCTCCTAGCTGTACACCAGCAATCTGAAATGACGTTGACATTCCACTAAAATCAGGAAGAGAAAATAGATAAAGCATGTAAAGAATAGTCGTTTTATCTTTGCATCTTTGTTCATCACTACTATCAGCCTTGTAGGTTCGTCAGACACTTACTTATCATTTTTCTCATTTTTTATGTCTCCTGTTCGTGCAGACTGTAGAAAGCAGACATCTGATGTTTTGTTGGTATGATCGGCTTGAAATAATTGTACTGGTCTTGATAACACTTTAGCTAAAGGAAAAAAAACAAAATGATAAAAAACTCAGTATTGAAACAATGCATACTGTGGATCGATAAAAATTTATTGGAGCCGAGCAGGCTAGGTTAAAAGTGTCGTTTCAGGATTAAAACAATATTACTATCTAAACATTTTTTCTTTCACGAAGAGATTGATAGAAAGAATTCTTAAAGACTTGATTGTTCTCACCGGCCTACTGGTATTCCTCTGTTCAGTACTGATGAGTACAGCTTAAATTAAGGAGAAGTAGCTTTATCGTTACCGAAAAATTTCGCATTTACTGCTATCAACCGACTCCGTACACATGTTGTATTCTGATTTGTCTATTTTTACATGTAAACAAAAAAATAGGATCATAGTTTTTTTCCGATATTCATAGCCATTACCATGTCTGAAAAGTGAATTAATTTGTACGTTTGTTGCAACTGTTTTTGATCACCATACAGTGAATTAGTATTTTTATCATTTATAGATTGAATTGTTGAATGAATAAACAACACATTCATTTTTCGAAATATAGCCCTGTTTTATATACGTCATAAATATTTTTCTATCCCCAAATTTTTCGTTTACATGTAAATATATATTCATTTCATTCAACAACTTGTAGAGCGAACATTAGAATTTGCGCTACTAAAATGAGATAAAAAGACATGTGTACAAGTAACAGCAGCAATTAATGTTGAACATAATGCTTTAAAAGATCGTTTAGGTTTTTTTTCTCTGAGTATTGAAAAATCTAATAGAAAGGGATTTGTTACAGGTTAAATAAAAGCTGTCAGCATCTTTTCTACAGTCTCTCTTCTACTTAAATTATTCCGTTATTTAACACACCAGCAGGAATCGATCTTGATCTAAAACGGTTTCGAAAGAGTAGATAAATAATTTTAATTACTGAAACGCGCATACCTTGCACAACGGACGGATGTGGTATGGAATCTAGAACGAAAATATAAAAAGGCTATTTAATTTTAATATGTTAACAGTTAAAAGATACTTACAAATTTTTGGAACAGTTGTACAATTTAGAAGATTATTTTGCGCATGTTGCGGCCAAATTGTACTTCCTTGCTGAATAACAAGTTTTGGTGTTGTTGTTGACGATTGTGTAATAATATTTTTTGGATTACTAGTGGTAAAAGTCGTTGTCACTGTTGGAATATAGGGTTGAACAACAGTCAGTTTATTTTTTGTTGCTAAACTAAATACTTGTTGACTTTGCTGCTGCTGCTGTTGTTGTTGCTGATGATGGTTATCATTATTCATCACAGCTGCAGCCGTATTTTGTAATTGAGGAGTCGCGGTTCTTACAGTAATTTGCAAAGCATTCGATGGCGACTTTGAACTAAAAGAGAACAAAAACGAATTAAAATGACTACGCATGAAAAACAAGCTTAAAGAATGTTGCAATAAAAAAATATAATATTGCTCCTGATATTTCAATTCTCTTCTCAAAAGATAGATGTATTTGATAAAAGTGTGACTGACATGAATATAATTAACATTAACACGTGATTTACTTTAAATCGGAAAATTGGGCATTATGTGTGGATTGCAAATAAATTGATTGTTGAGTTTGTCCATTTGAATCATTCACAAATGTACTGTTTAAAGTTTGAATTTTTGGCGTCACAGTTGTAACTTGATTTGATAGAGAATTTAATGTCGACACCGTTGTATTTGTGGATGAAGACGATACAGATGAAAATGAACTTGGTGTAACAAGCGTCAGTAAAGACGGAGAAGACTGTTGTGGTATTAATATTGAATTGTTTAATGGTGTTATTATATTACTGTGTTTAATTGCCATCGTTGTTTGTGGTGGAGATGAGGAATTAGGTGTGGATTGTAAAGTTTGCTGATGAACTTTTGGCATGTATGAAGATGTTTGTGCCATCATTGTTGACTGTGGTTGATTTAAAATAAACGCTTTTGAAAATTGAGAATAGGATGATGGTGATGGAGCATTTGAAGAATTTGTTCCATTTATAACTTTATTACTCTGATTGAAATTAGAATGTTGTTGCTGCTGTGGTGTTGTCTGAATAATAGGTGCCATTGCAACAATATTTGATATTGGTTTATTAAATATTTGAAGCTGTACCGATTGTGAATTGGTTGTTGTCGACGTCGATGATAATGGTTTTTGTTGAGAAACCAATCTTATTGACGACGAATTTTGCGGTGTAGTTGAAGTAGAGGACGATGTACTATTAATATTATTATTTGAGGTCAAATGTACAGTTTGTTGACGTAAATTTGTTAATGAATTACAATTTGTCGACGATAATTTATTTGTGTCTATATGAGCATCAGCTAAAAGAAAAAACAAATAAACCAAAGATATGAGAATATTTAATAGATCGAAGAAAAACAAAATTTAAACAAAATCAACTATGCACAACTGCATGCTGTCTGTCGAGTAAAATGAATTTATTTTGTTCGTCAGAGTAGATCCTATTAAAAACAACGCGCCCCATCGCTTGGTTTTTTTACCCTAGCTAATGGTTAAAAAAATGCACAAGAAACCAAACAACTTACGGATAGTGAGTTTCTTAACGATCGACGTTGGACTTGCTATTCCAGGCATTGATATTGTTGGAATAAGAGGTTTGGGATGCTAAAATGAAGTTAAAAAATCAAGATTACACCATGGACGCTAAAATATTATCGGTTACAGTTTTTGTCCTGAACTTCAAAGAATTATTCTTTCTTGTCGCTTTAGATATCTCCGTCAGTATTTCTTGAATGTACTTCAAAAATCACTCATACGTCATAAAGCACCAGGTCATTCTTTCGCGTCATTGTAGTTTAATATTCCTGATATCGATTGGAGAGCACTCCATTTTTATTGCATTAGTCGAATTCGGGCAAAAATAATTTCCATCTCATATTCTCTACGGAATTTTTTTTCTTATCTTGCGTAAACGAAACGCGTTGCGGCTCAAATTACTATTATATTTTGATGGTTCAGCAAACTCAAAAATTGTATGCTTTCCATTGTCGCCTCCTCTTCCAAATGTTAATCATAGATTAAAAAAAACTGATGAAGCAGATGCGTCCACAATAAAAACGAATAATCAGTTAAACCAATTATCTGAAGTATTCCAAAAATATACTTTCAGCAATAACAGACAGTCTATGAAAGATCTATGAACCAGACGCTAACGGCGTAAACATTACGACAGCTGTATACAGGACGTAGAAATACTGTTAATTACCAGTTTCAGACCGGAATAAATCAACGACGATGATGTCGGATCAGACAAATCAAATATTTGTTCGTCGTTGTTAGCGTTTGTTCGAGTTAATACATCACTCATCGCTACATTTTGATGATAGAAGATGGTCATATAAATAGACTAAAAAATAAAACATCAGATAGACAACATTTCACTTCACGGATCGAAAAATCTTAGAAACCGATCGTCTCACTCTCCACAAAACAACTAACTTAGAGATAAGAGTAAAACAGAGCACCGCTGTGGCATCAAACTAGTTTCTTATAAAAAGATGACAGTTCTACTTACACTACACGACGTATTCCTGTTACAACCACGATTTTACAAAAAGAATTAAAGATTAACTCAACAATTTTTCGTTTTTAAATTTTAAAAACACATTCACTGTTCATTTTTAGGCATTTCATTTTGAAAATATTATTAGTTCAAACACATATAGCTCTATGCCTTGTGTAAGTGTGTGTGTCTCTTTAACGCATATTGTATGTATGTTGTGTATTTGTGTTTTTTGTGCCTGAAAAGGAGGCAAGGGGGGTACGCAAGAGTCAGATTCAAAACATGACGGCAAAGAGTTTTTTCTCTTTCTCTTTCGTTCTCTTCTTTTTTACATTCTCTCTTTATGATCTATCAAAAAAAAGAAAAAAAGAATTTATTCTCTTTTGTTTTTCTCTCGCGGTAGCTATAGCACTATTGACAATTATTTTCTTTTATTTCCAACATACAGTAAGTGTGTGATGCGTATGTGTACAGCAATAATAGAATAGCGAACAAACCCGATAGAAACAACGATGATATTGGGTAAGCGTTTCTTCGTTTCTTCTTTACTTTGATTTTTTTTCTCTTTTTTTCCTTCTCTTCATTTGTTCTTTTTAACATTGTGCATGCCTAACCTACTAAATTGCATCCTGATTGGTTGATTTGTTTCAACGAAAAATGTAGTAAATCCATTTTTGACAAACGTTATGTGCAGAAACCAACAACAATCATAATCATCATCATCATCAAATGTAAGGATGAGTATAACCATACAGATTTTTTTTTCTTTCTTCACCTACAACAATCAATGTCATTGGATTTTTTTACTAAGAATATTTTGGGGCATGCATAATCATAAAAGAAACAACAGTATGGAAAGCCAGACACGCTCCATAAAATGTAAGAATATAACTGAAGAATAAAAAAAAGAATAAATTCTTTATGTTATTGTCATAGGATCTCGTTTACTACAACGAATTTTTATGTGACACCCGGTGTGAAGTCATTTACTTCTATTCTAATGTTCTACACGTGCAAGATGTAGTTTAGATATCTTCATCACCTAAAATTTCACTAAATGTTACTTAGACAAAGATAATTTTATTACATTTTCATGATATTTAATACGTCCTTTCTAAATAGTTTTTCGATGCTTTTAAAGCTCGTTGGTTTATCTATCGACATTATAAATAGACTTTATTCTCCCGCATTGTTAGAATAGTCAGTGGTTGTTAGAAAGCTTATTTATTCGTACTAGTTATTGAGTTTATACTTTTTAGACATGTTTCAATAGTCATAACAAAAGCCAATAGTTTAATTCACAAGGGCTGCTGGTGTGCTAATAATTATCCGTCAAATACAACACCCTATTACGTTTATCTAAAATTTTCTTCAGTTAAAAACCCTTTTTAAGTATCAAGTGGCTTGTTTTGCAAGACAAGCTTAATCTTACCAAACAGCTGATCTCACGTAACATTCAGCTATATTATTTCATTTTCCAAAAATATATTTTATTTACTATATCAAAAACGAGTTATCTTTTGCAAACGCCGCTTTCTTTTTGAAGTATGCGATATTTAAGGTACTGCTTTGATTGCTGGTACGAAGTGACAGGATATTCATTCAGAGTACTTTTAAAATTCTTTAAATGATCTAAAGAAACATATAAAGAAACATTTTGGTATCAAATATCCATGCGTAAGTAGTCATTCATATCTATTATGTTTGGTTTTCATTCTTTTAAAAGAGAATATAAAATGTGTAATAGATTCTGATTATTATTGGTGTAATAGTCGTAATGATTTTTAAAACTATATTCATTCTATATTGATTCTAAATGAAATATAGTTGTTTAGGGATGGGGATATATTTTGATATATTATTCTGTTGTTTGTTTCATGCATAAGAAAAAAAATTTCCAGTTTTAAAATAGATCGTTCTGTCTGCACATTATATTCTTCATATTCAAGATGTAATAAGATTTCTGTTACATTTGTTTTCAAATCTACCCCATCTAAAAAACCCATCTTTTAAATTCCAGGAAGGCAAAGGTTTGTGATAAACGTAAAAGGAAGAATATTGAAAAGTACAAATTAAACGCAAAACAAAAACTACAGAAATTATTTTTAAAGGTATCAACGTATGTTGTTTTGAAGTCAACCGCTTCCGATAAGCTTAAATTTTTTCTTTTACTTACATCGAATTTTATTAGAACAAGATTTTGGCAGATAATTGAGTGATGAACAAAATAGATTACGCAAAGAGGAAGCCACAATATTAAAGAACGTGTCTATATGGTTTTCGTTAATCAAACATATCCAATGCTATCTCCTTTCTGTCGTTCATCAAGAGTGTGACTTTTACGATTAATGATTTGAGTTGGTGTTTTTTTTCAGTGTATTCTACGCCTGTAATAACCAAGCGAAATTTGTTCGTCACCGCTTTTTTCCTCTCATTCATTCACTTTGTATTTTTTGTATCGAAAAAACCTCCCTTTTTCTTTTTTCTAAGGGGCAATCTTTCATATATACATAAATATATACATACATACATCGTTATTTTCTTCGTTCGACATTATACCTCTAAAGCGTCTGTACGATGAAATGTAGACAACTGCCAATATTCAGAACAAAAAATTCGTCGTATTTCGCTGCTCTATTTCACTATTTGCAGTAAAGAGAAGAAAAAGCTTTTTTTTTTTTCTCTCTTCTCTCATCCACACAAAAAGATAGGAATAATCTTCTCTATACATGGCTTTTTTGTCAAATCATTTCTGTAAATATTGATGGCAGTGTGGCTATGTATATACCGCACGCCCGTCGACAAATGCCTCTAACGACCAGTTGAAAAAAAAGAGAAAGTAAATGGAACAAATGTGTGCGGAGACAACGTGTGAATGTAGAGTAAGAGTAAAGATTGGTTTATTTCATATCAATCTTTTTTTTCTAGTTAAACTAACTGTAGTTGCGCATTACTCTTCTCAATACGTTTTTTTTCTTCTAATAGTGAAAAAAATGATATGATATAATTGTCAGGATACATAAATAACGGAATGTTCAGAAATTAATATTTTGTGCATACCACTGTCTTTGTTATTACCGATACAAAACACCTGTTCTATGAAATATAAGAGTCTTTGATGATTTGTTGACTAAAGACAAGACCGTTGATTTAATGGTATTCCTTTATAATCAGGCAAAAAAATCTAGTTCATTGGAGACAACAAACGATATAGAATCAAATCTTTTCACAAAGTCAAAGCTAAACACATGAATAACCGAAATCTAATTGTGAATTGAGGCAGCTCAAACTGGTCTACTAAAGCTTTTTCAATTGAACAACAGAGTTTCGACACTTTTCCGTTGACTAATATTTATAACGGGTGTAGCATAAATAATGTCGGTCTTACTATTTTTGTTCTAACTCTTGTTCCTCAGGGTGCCCAGAGATTTTTTTTCATTAGTAGAACCGCTCTAGGAAGTAAAACCGTAAAATTCTCTACAAACTCATACTCACACTTTAATTTTAGAACTTCAATCAAGATAACTAAGTAAATTACAGTAAAAGTCCCATAACTCCATAAAAACGATTTTTCGATAGGATTCGTTTTGTTTTGATGAGAAATGATTGCTCTTCTCTGCGTCACTGCAAAATCAAAATTTCGATCACATTTTTCGTTTCGTTCTTACGCTCATTGCCGGAAACGGGCAGGTTGTCAATTTTTGACATGTTCTTAAAACTTCGTCGTCCGCCATACCACCTACTCTAAAAAATATTATTTACAGACCACGAAATAGAGCACATTTGAAAGTACCTAACACAAGCTTAGTTCTCACTTGTGTTACGCTTTTTTACCGAAATAATAGCAGAAGGAAAAGTTCAAGTCGGAAAAAGTACCAAACTTACAGTTTTTATGTTTTTCGTATAATTTACTAAGTTTCCTTCATGGAAGTTCTGAAATTAAAGTTCAAGTATGAGTTTGTAGAGAATTTTACGACGGTCGTACTAAAAAATATCTCTAGGGATCCTGACGAACCGGAGTTTGAGCAAAAATAGCGAGAGTCGAATTATTTATGGTACATCCGTTAGATCAAGTTTTACGCTAGTCATTTGAAACGAGGCAAATAGCGAAAAACCATTAAATTAGAGATAATAATCTAGTTTTTTCGATACCTTCAGCAGAAACGGCTCAAAAAAAAGTTCGAATGGTACACATATTAACCATGAAACATTTTAGTGTTGACAAACGTCGATCGAACTGTAGTATTTTTTCTACGGCCTTGCAGAAAAAAATATTTGGACAATTCTACGGATAAAGTTCGAAGAAAAACAATTCAATTAGGTATCATAAAATCGCTGGTATGAATCACTATAACGAAAGTAAAATACCATTCTGTATAATATAATGTTAAGGAACAAGTGAAACGCGTATTGGATCATAATATACGAATTTTAATATAACATTACTTCTTAAGAAGACGCTTGATTTACTAAGCGATAAGTCTTTTTGCCCCAACTTCCAAACATTATAAAAACGGTAATTATGCTCAGCAAATCCAAACCGAAAGCCAAAATTCAAGAGTACCACAATTTTAAGCTGACCATATCATGTGACATGAACGTTGTTAGCAACGGAATGAGCAAATGACACAGAAAATCTTTTTGATTCGCAGCGTTTTTTAATGGAACCTGAAAATAAAATAAAATACAAGAATCTTTCACTTTGATTGATAAAGTTAACGTTTTTTGTACACTATTTATTTTTAAGTTATTTGTGCAGATTGAATTGAAAAAAAAAGGATGATGAAACTGGGTAAAGAGAGTTATAAACTTTCATTTTGTTTAATAGCATATATCATTATCTCTAGTGATCTTCTTTTCATTAGACACACGGAGAGACATAATTCGCAATTTTGATTTGCTCTCTATTTTAATCAATAAGAACAAAGTTACTTTTACATTTCGAAAATCGTGAATTGAAGGAAGTTGATTCTTCTGTGAAGACTTGTAAACAAGAAATAGAAACTAATTTTTTTTGGAAGGGACAAGCAGACTAAGCGATACTTTTTTTCGTACGACACTGACTTTCAGTCACGAGAAACATCCCACTATTCCTTCTGAACAGTTTCATATAGCTTGGTCAACTTTCTACAAAGTACAACTTATGTGGTTTTGTTGGTATGACATAAGAATCAACTTCGTATGTCTGTTTATTTTTAAATTTAAGTACAAGTTGCAGATATATTTCAAAAATACACAAAACTTTATTTCTTTAACTCTTATCATATCAAAAGTACAAAAAAATTCAGGAAAAAAGAAAATATACGACTACCCGCACTTCTGTAATTAATTTTTGACATCTCGGTAGCTTCAAATGAGGTGGTGAAACAGAACAAACTTTGTCTCGTTTCATCAACTGACGCATGACGAATCCGTTTTGCCCACTTCTGCTATATCATACGGTAACTTGACGCCCTCTGTTACAGTTAACTTTTCTCATTAAGTTCTGATAAATTAAAGATGTATGTTGCATAATGTCCGACTTTGCCTTAGTTGCCTTCTACGTATCTTCGAGATCTTTAGAAAAATTACTTTTTAGGTTATTATAACTTATGATTGGCTCATCCATGGAGTATCTGACAGCCATTTTTCCATATTTTGCGGACATACACGCAACTCTTTTGTAAGATGTAACACCGTTCTCTCCTTTTGGCTGAAAATAATAGGTCCAGATGGATGCTAGCTATGTCAATTCGTATTGATCCTGGCACCTTGGAGACACTATTTGGAGGTAAAGGGAATGATCATTTTTTCATGTCATATGTGGTTCAGCTGACATTCTTCCATCTAACCTTTATTTTATTTTGCATGTCTTTCTGACAATTTTCCTGCTCTATGGAAAACTGCATATGCTGTTCCTATTCACAAAAAAGGCGTTATTGCTGATATTTCTAACTATCGTCCTATCTTCCTTCTTTCTGTTGTTTCCAAAGTATTTGAGCGTCTAATTTATAACTTTATCTTTTCTCATCTGTCTAAACATTCCTTTTTTGTAAATAAACACTTTGGTTTTCGTCCTAAACATTCTACTCTTGATGCTTTGTTGTTTCTATCTTTAACTGTTTCTAACTTTTGGAATGCTGGTAAGAAGAGTGTTGGTGTATCTTTTGATTTCTCTAAAGCATTAGACTCTGTTCTCATTTTCTGTTGGAAAAATCATCTCGCTGTGGTCTAAATGGTTTTTTACTTTCTCTTATCGTCTTACCTGTCAAACCGATCTCAGCGTGTGCGTGTGAATGATTCGATCTCTCCTCCTGCTCTTATTTCTTTTGGCGTTCCCCAAGATAGTGTACTTGGATCACTTCTATTTCTTATTTATATGAATGAGTTGCCTCTTTCTCTTTCACCTAACTGTGAAATCTCTCTCTTTGCCGATGATGTTTTCTTGATTGTACCCCTTTCTTCTGACCCTTCCGATTTTTCTAATGTTCAGAACTGCATCAACTCTATCTCCAATTGGTTTTCTTCTAATCTCATGTCTCTAAATGTTCTTAGCTTCCTTTTTCTTTCGATGTCTTTCCTTTTGTTTACAATCAATTGTACTTAAATGCTCTTTCTCTTCTGTTGTTTCCTCTGTTCACTGTCTTGGTGTTCTTGTTTCGCACGATCTGACGTGGATTGAGCGTGTCAGAGACATGGCACTCGTTTGCGGGCGTAAGTTGGGTGCACTGAGTCGTGCGTTTGGATTAACTCCATCAGCGAGGTTCGGTGTCGGATCTATATTTCTTCTGTTTATTCTAAAATTGATTATTGTTGTGCCTTGTACGATAGTTCCTTTTCGCTCGCTGTTCTTGACTCTGTGAATAAACTTGCTTCTCATGTCATTTCTCGTAATTTTAATTACCATTTTTCTAGTTTTTTACTTGTATCACAACTTTCTCTTCCAATCCTCTCTCTTCGCTGTAAATATTTTCAACTTGTTTAGTTTTTTAAAATTTACCGTCATCTTAGTCCTCTCTTCATTTTTTATCCTGTTCATCGTCCTCACTACGCTTCTTTACGTCTTCATCACTATAAACATGTTCGCATTCCACCTCTTGTTAACGGTCTTTCGTTGCAAACAGTTTTTATCCTCCTTTTTTTTTTATAAATTGTCATTGACTGGAATAACTTACCAGAATCAGTGATTTGTTTTTCTTCTTTATCATCATTTAGAAGAGCTCTATCTCTACATCTCTTACAGTAAAGTACAGCCATATTTCTAGGCAATCCATACCTGTGCTAGTTTTTCCTCTTTTAATTTTTATTTTACTTTTTTTTTTTCATTTGTTTACTTGATCTGTCTCTGTCCGTTACTCTAGTTTTCTTTTATCAAATTGTCTTTGCTATTTTATTCACTCGAGTCATTGTTATTACGGTCGGGGGCCTTTCATGACTCTCATTTTTCGTGAATAAATAATAATATTATACTACTACTCCTTTCTTAACAATAAACTTTTTTCAACTAAAAATTATCCACTGTCTCACATACATACATCCGTCCAAAGTTTTCGATATTAGCATATTCATCTAATTTTAGATTTCGTTTAAAAAATGAGTACTACGGCAAAACCCTTACCGTTAGACCAACAGTTTATTATTAACCGAAAAGGGGTTATCGACGAAAGAGTGCCAGCTTTGGTATGGTATTATTTTTAGTGCTCTATGATTTTTTTTAAGTAATTTTTTTATCAACCTGTCTTAATCGCCTTTCCTTTAGCATTCGTCATGGATAGAAAATCATTATTTTGTTTCCTATACACCATCACCATCAGATGAAAATAATAAATCTGAAATAGAACAGTGGACTGAACGTATGGAATTTATCTCTAATGATTTGAAATGGTTACTACAATTAACACATCGGCAATTTTGGTGTGAAGTTCGTATTTTCAAAAAACTTTTTTTGATCTATGATTATCTCTCTTTCTTAAGGTTGCGTTCAATAAAGATTTTCATGTTTTGCTCGATTCTTACTTACGTTATGCTCCACGGTAAGTTTAAAAGAATTTTTTAATGTTGTGTTAAATAGAAAAATGACGTTAATGGAGTTATTTTGTTGTTCGTTTATTCTTTTCTAGTCCACAACGTTCGTTTATAGATAACAATACAGATGTTTCATTAGATGATGGGAAAGATTCTTTACAGCAAAATGTTAATCGCTTGATGTTTATGACGATATTACGAATGTCTACGCATAAAGAATCTCCAGTAAGACACTCGCTCAAAGTGTTTCTGCATACATTTCTAATTTTTATTATTTAGACAAATTATTTCACTCCTGAGGGTTTCGCTGATGCAATTTACGATAATTACATCTTTGACATTCCAAGAATACTCGATATATGTTCACTGTATGCAATAAACAATAAAGAATTATTATCAAAGATGATCAATAACATATTTAAACAACAGCCAAAGTTTCTTGAAGATTTGAAAGTTGGTGTAAATGCTATTAAAGATGTATGTTTGGTTTTTGGCACATTCTCTCACGTTCTGTTACAGTGATTAAAGACCGCCACTGTCAGAAATCTATTTTTGTCTCAGAACATCAGATCTGAATAAAATTTCATAAAATGTGTGTCTTATCCTAGAAGGATAACAATAAAGGTTTGAGCTCGAAATATTGAATTTTCCCAGGGTTATCCTAAAAATAAGGGCCAAAAAGTAGGTGTTCTTGAACCAAAGATTTCTCCACTATTCTGAGTGCTAAAAAAGCTCAGCGTAATCTTGAAATGTAGCGAAGATTTGGAGTTACAACTTAACAGAGACAGAATTTTCAAATTGTGGTTTGTTTTCTCGTTGGAAAGTTGGAGAAGTTTCGGAAAACTTTATTTTTCTCAAGAACTAAATTGAAAATGAAAAATCCGACTCTGTTAAGCTGTTTCGCCAAGTCTTAGCTACATTTTAGGATCGTCGTGAACTTTTTAACGTCCAAAATAGCGTCGAAATGTTTGCCGCACAAACAACTAAAAAATGATTTCGCAAAAAGCGTCGTGGATTTGTAAGTGTACTTTAGGGTTTGTAAAAAATACTTGTAACTTTTCAACCGAAGGTCGCACAGCTGCTATGCAGAGCTGTGCTATGTCTTATCTTGACCAGAAAAGGTTATTCTATAAAGCGTTTAGAAAATAGTTTAATTTCATAGGTATCATGGAAAAAAACAGAATTCAAATATTTTATTTTGCAAGTTTTCCCAAAAATCTCCCTCAGAAATCATGACAATTTATTTTCAGGACTATAAGCGATACAGATTTTGAAAGTACATACTTTGGGATATCCAACCCATATATAAATCCAAGAGGTAAAAAGCAAATTCCGAAATGAATAAAAAATTTCTGGAATGACTGAATGGCATTCCACAATCGAGTGCTTTTTCCCCCTTGTATAAATCTCAAAATCGTTATTTTTGACGAAAATTGACTTTCTGACATGGAAGCGAGCTTAAGTCAATTCATTTGGAATGGATGCTAACTCTCGTAATTTTTTGTTTTGTTTTAGGTTATAGATAATATGCTCTATGCATTTCACACAAAAAATAATTATACTGAAAATCGTCCAAAAAAACTACTCGAAATCAAATCACCTGCTAATATTTATTCTTATGAACAAATAATTGATATGCTGTTGTACATACTGGATTTAAGCTGTTCATTAAATCGTTTTTTTGATATTTATTCAAATGGAAAACAAGTTTTTTATTCAGAAGATTTTCATTCGACGCAAGTGGATATTTTATTTAGTCTCTCTCATATCTAGGAGGAGTTCAAGAGGGAAAAAAGCAACTAGTTAACTTATCAGCTGAATTCTGACGGTTTTTATCAATATCGTTTACCCGAAACAGTTGATATGGTGTTAGATCGTTTTTTTAAACCTATGCTTTATCTCTTTTTTGTCTCTTCTAAAAATCACTTTTTATCTTGTTTTTCTCTTTTAGAATCGTTCGTTTGTTTGAAACCTTTTTACGTGTTCTAGACAAGTCTAGACATTCGAATACCATAACAGATGAAATGTAATGTCATGTTTCCTTTTGTGCACAATATAGTTGATAGTTTTTTCAATTTTCAATGCTTTTAATATACTTTTTTCTTTAAAATAACAGGTTTGATAATGAACTAAGCGACATTTATGAAGAATCAAAATATGAAACAATAACGTTATTCAATGAATTATTATCATCTTGTTGTATAGATCCTTTATTGCACAATCAGTAAGTAATTAAAAGGTTTCTATTATACTATTTTTTGATAGCTTGTTGCACCGAGACTCTAGTGAATGTACTTCGATCCAAGTATTTTGCTTGTCGAATGAAGATGGTACTTGACTTTTTTCTTCTGATAAATTTACTTGACAAGTATTTTCACAAGTACTTCATTACAATACAACCACGTATTGCACTCTTTGAGAAGCACTCGCAAAAGTATATAGTAAATGAGTAATTTTGAAAATAATTGTCAATTTTTCCAAGTACTTATCAAGTAATAAAGTATTTGGATCAAGTACGTTCACAAAGAGAGTTAGTGGGATATATTACGGACTTTTTCTTTTATTGTGTACTTTTTCTAGAAATGAAAATGATCAAGTTGAAAATCTAGTTCAGATCTGTTCATTGTTATCAAGTGAAAAACATTTTTTAGCAGCATTCGAAGATTATTATAGTTTTATTGATGTAATTGATACTGTCCAACAAACAACAGGATTATTGTATCCTTTCTTTGAGGTTTTTATTGATTTATGTTTATTTTTTGACTTCCTTAACATTCGCTATAAGAGATACACAACAAATTATGTTTTATACAAACGCTGTTTATGAAGCCATTGAATTGTATGGAACACCGTCATGTAAACAAAAACTGTCGACTTTATCGGTAAATAAAATCATGTCGGACACTGTTTTCGCTAATCTTAAAGTATTTTGTTTTCGTTTTCAGACATTGAATGAATTAGTTGACAAAAATGAAGCTTCGTCAAATGTTAATCCAGCCGTTAAAACTATACAAGATTTCTTTCCGGATTTAAGTGATACATATATTCTTGTAAGTATAACTTTGTTGCTATACAACCAAACAGAACAAACCAAAAATCAATTAGAATATTCTAATTGGTTTTTGGTCATACTTTTACAATATTAAAACAGTTGTTTATTACCCTTCACTATTATCTCAGACGAATCAAATAATAAGCACAGAAGAAGGAGATAGATTGTTAGAGATCATTTTATATGTGTAAACCGTTTAATATTATTCTTTACAAGTTGACGTTATATGATAGTTTAAAAACAAGGTTTGCTAAATGAGATATAATATTTATTTTACAGCACCAAATTAATTATTTATTTAATTTAAAATTTATTCTAATGTTTCGAGTCACCGACTCATCATCAGAGAACTGTCAAAGTAAAACTAGTGAGAGAAAGCGAGATTAAAATTAGTAAGCTACAATAAATCTTACATATTTGACTATCGATTTTTTTAAATATAAAACCATACTAAACTGTCCTATGATTTTGATATTTTAAACTCGACTTGTTTGAACTAGATAATTTTAAAATCTAGTTAATTTAATTTAATTTAAAATTAATTAAAATTTTATTAAATTTTGTTTTACAACCGCTTTTTCGTTATAGAAAAGCTCAAGCCTTGGAAATTTGAACTGATCTTTACTACGCGCGCAGTCTTTGAGACTGTCTTTCTGTAACTTTTCTCTGTGAGGGCCAGTTCAAGTTTCCAAGGCTTGAGCTTTTCTATAACGAAAAAGCGGCTGTAAAGGAAAATTTATTTAGTATAAACTGTTCTAAAAAGGCTGTTCTCGCTTTTTAAGTTTTTTATATATTTAGCATTTGTATGTCTTAAACGCTAGTATTTGATTACTATGTCAAAGAACTTATTTGTCTTACGCATTTAAGGAGAAGCTTTTTTACTATATTATTTCAATTCGATCATTTGCAAATCGAAATGAAAACAAAGTGCTAAGAAAACAAGTTGACTCGCTTAAACTTTTTTCTACGTCATGCAAAAAACCGAAGCTTTTCCGCGGCAGAAGTCACGGAGACCTAGTTTATTTTAAAATGGCTCCCATTGAAATGCTAAGTAGTTTTTATTAAATACTAAGTAAAAAGTTATTTTTTTCTAAGTAGTAATTATATTTTTTGCAGAAATGTGGTTTAGTGGCTCACTCTCATGCTTTCCAAGCATCGCCCCTAGGCACACAAAAATATATCTTACTAAAGTAGGAATTAACAAAAATTAACTTTTAATAAAAACTACTTAGCAAAAAAATAGTTTCCTTTTAAAATGAACTAGACACTTACATCTAACTATTGATCTAGATAATTTCTGAGTTTTTTCTCCGTTGTTCGATGGGCTATGACGAGTCGTAGAAACTGAAGAATACAAGTGTCAAAACTGCTTATGAGAAAATCTGCTATAACGCGTGGCCCAGATAAAACCGGCCACTTTTGTTCGCTTTTGTGAAAAAATGCTCAAGAGCCTATTCCTAGTGCGAAGTCACCCAGAATTGTACCGTTTTTTTTGAAGATAAGAGTCTTTACAAATCTAAATATTTGAAATTGCATATAGAATGAGAAAGTAGCGGTGAGTGCTTTAAAAAAACCTATAGACATCCCACTCATTTTGGATGTCATTTTTAAGAGGATCCACGTTAAAGGCAGTAAGAAAGTAGATCGTTGTGAAGTTTTCTAATCATCTATCTATTTGGAAATATTGTGAACGTTTATATTGAGTTTCTGGACTCATTCGTTGCCCTAGTCATCGGTTCTTATAAAAGAATCAGACACAAAACTTGTAACAGGCATGTAAACATCTTAGAAGCGCTAATTAAGAATCTTATAAAAATCTTATTCAATTTTTATATAAGATCTTTCAAGAAAGTGACAATAATTTCGCTGAATCTTATAAGAATCTTGTAAGATTCACATAGGCTTTCATAGAAAATTGGTAAGAATCGGCAGAACGCGTACGTTATTCTTATCCTCTTCTTATAAAAGTCTAATCACATTCTTGTAAGATTCTTACAAGTTTTTTATATTATGAGAAACTTGATAATCAGAACCAGTACAATCCAAAAAAATGTAAGAAAATCGATATATCGATTTACATCTATAATGCACCCCCCTTCCCCCCTTAGCAAAATTCTGGCTACGGGCCTGATCTAAACTCGTCCCGGAAGAAACATTTGAGTAAAACATACACTGTTAAAAATCTGTATTCTTTTATTCTTTGGAGAACATGGTGAAGAGTACGAATGTGTTCTTTGAAAAGTGAAAAACACAATATATGTTCTTCAGCCTATTTTCACGTCTTTATTCTTTAGCAGAGTTTTTGTTCTTCAAAAAATTAGTTCTCCATTTTTATAAAGAACCAAAAACTAATTCTTGTTCTTCAGAAAACATAATTTTTGTTCCCCAGCTTTCTGAATAACGTAAACCATATTCTTGTCCTTCAGCTTTCTGAAGAACAAAAATAAACATAAATCATATTTTTGCTCTTCAAAAAACAAGAATCAGCAGTCCATTAAAATATTCGTTTATGAAAATGTGTGTATCGGCGCAGGAGTTCTAGACTGTGAGGTGTAAATATGTTGTTTTAGTCTTCCACTTTGACCTTCTGACTTTGCCGATTAGTTTTTTTAGGCTATAAGAGATTTCAAAGATTTCTTTTTTTTCGTGTATGTTATCTATCTACCACTATTCTTAATTCTGCATGTTTGGTCGTCTACTACTTATGGCATTTGTGATTTGTGCCTTTTTTTGTCATCTCCTCAGCCATGTAGCTGCGGTTGATTATTCCATCGAAGATTAGATTTCTAAGCGGCACTAGTTAGCTCAACCCTCTCTAATCTGATACATGCTTTTATACTAACATTTGTTTCATTCATTTACACATTTTTCTTGTATGCTGCTCACAAAGTGAGCTATTTTTTTTTTACTCTTTCTGACATTATTTTCTCGTTTATGTTATATTACGTTTAACTAAACCTGTTTTTCTGTTCTGTAAGAAACTTTCCTTATTTTATACATCACCTTTCCGCTTATTAATGCAACTACCATTTCAGCTCACTAATAGTTTTTTAAACCAACAAACCGATCGAAATCTTCTGAAAGAAATGAAAAGAAAGCCGCGTTCTTAAAGTAAATGGAACCATGAGGATTTGAGTTCTTCAGCCAATATCTATATAAAACAGATGTAAAATAAGACGAAGAAAAAAATTTACTGTTCTCTAACGAACAAAAATTATGTTTTTCAACTTTTTGGTAGTTCTTAAAAAATGAGTTCTTCAGGGAACAATTTGTTCCCTATAGAGATAAAAAATTTGAAGAATAACACTTTGCTCTTCAGAAAATGTGATCTTCCTCATTTGTGTTCTTCAGAGAATACAAAACTTGTTCTTCAGTTTTTGAAAGTTCTTGAAAAATCTGTTCTCTGAAGAACAAGTTGTCCCCTATAGAGATCAAAAAACTTAAAGAACAACCATTTTGTACTTCAGAAAAATGAAGATTCTTGTTCTGTAAATCTTTGGAGAACACACATATATATGGTCTCTAAAGCGGACAAATGAGGATCATTTTTTTGTTTTTTGAAGAACACAGATTTTTAACAGTGTAGTAGAATCAATCCTAGAAAACAAAACGGTGACTGAAAAAATGTGTTACTAGTGCTCACCGATGCCGAGCCAGTGCAACATGACATATCGTGCGCACTGGTAGTGACGGCCTTTTTCTGGTGCTGCACTGACATTTTTTTTTGTAGAGGAGTCGATCAAGTTTCTCATAACATAAAAAACTTGTAAGAATCTTACAAGAATGTGATTAGACTTTTATAAGAAGAGGATAAGAATAACGTACGTGTTCTGCCGATTCTTACCAATTTTCTATGAGAGCCTATGTGAATCTTACAAGATTCTTATAAGATTCAGCGAAATTGTTGTCACTTTCTTGAAAGATCTTATATAAAAATTGAATAAGATTTTTGTAAGAGTTCACAAAAATGTTTTGTCTAGGGTATACTTGAAAGATGGTTTCCATTCAATTATAGCTCTTGTAACTAACAATTTTCAAAGTAGCTCTATATTATTTATTTTAATAATTTTAAACCCATTTTTTCGTTAAAGTCAAGTATTTTTAATGTGTTTTCAAAAGTCGATAAATCAACGGTAGAATTGGGATTATTATCTGTAAATTCACCAATTACTCTTTCAGCTATGATTGATGCTTCTTCGTCACTAATTTTACCAACCTAAAATAAATAATTTGATTATTTTAGCACAAAAATGATTTGCTAAAATTTTTTACCATCATTTTTAGTGTTTCTTGTGCGTCTTCTTTCGAAATTTTGCCATCACGATCAATATCGTACATCTAAAATGAATAAACTTTGATATAATCATGAATAGAAATAAATAAAGAATATTTGGAATAATCTTTCAAACTTACTCGAAAGATAAATTTAATTTTTCTTGCAACATTTGTATCGTGCATAGAATAGCTAACATCTGATTCATCGTTTTTTAATATTTTTTTGCTAGTATCCGCTGTTGTACGTAATGATGATTCACGTCTTGAAAATATACTCATAAATTGAACGAAGTGTTTAAAATTTAATTTACCATCCGTTCCAAAATCATCAAAAATAACTTTCATTAAACGTGACGCCATGGGATTTTCATCAAATTTTGGTACACGACTGAGATCATCTAGAGTTAAATAACCTTTTGAACCTTTGCCTTCACCATTCACATCTTGATCTAATTCTTCAAATCGTACCCATAATGCACTTATTTGGTTTTTTGCTAAACCTTTAAAATACAAATGATTAATAGTTATGTTAGTAAGAAAAATTTTCAATTACATATCTTAAACAAAACCCAATATTTGTTATACATAGGGATTTTAATTACATTTATTTTCTGATAAGAGATACCGTGTTGAATTAATTGAATTTTCTGTATTTTTATCTTACCCGTGCTAGCAATAATATCATCGAGATCGATTGTATCTGGAATAGATGGTGTTGACCCCATCTATTTTTCTACTTTAAACTAATATTCTAAAATTACAATAGATAATAATTGACTTTTTGTTAACACCTGTTTTCTGTTTTGAAAAGAAGCAAAGTAAACAAAAGACTGAAGGAAGAAAGTGGTATATATTTTGAAATTTTTAAAAAGAAACGATTAAAACCAGCGTTAAAAACGATAAAAAGTTCCAGTATCGCACTGCTAGTCGGGGGGGGGGGGGGGGGGGGGGGGGGGGGGGGGGGGGGGGGGGGGGGGGGGGGGGGGGGGGGGGGGGGGGGGGGGGGGGGGGGGGGGGGGGGGGGGGGGGGGGGGGGGGGGG